CGGCCAATGGCGACGTACAGGCGTTCGGTAGAGGTCCCAAAACGCCAGGCCAGCACAAGACGCACGAGAGAAATGTGCATGCCAAGGGCGATTCCAATCATTCGGCTGTCGAGAATGGAAATGGGGAGGGATCTGCCACCCCAGGAGCCACAGAGGGCGAAAAGAAAGTGCCCAACGAAGCGCTGCTCGACAAATTCCGCACTGATGGTGAGTGCTCATCTTCATCTACATCTACAGTTTCCTCTTCTTCTTCTCCTTGTTTGCACCTCATAGATGCGTGCCACAGTGACGTACCAGCAGTTCTTGCGCAAGGACTTCAATCCACAGCAGTACGCGAGCACGGTGCTCAAGGCGGCCGACCAGTCTCCCTACGCCCTCCCGTCGGCCCTCGAAAAGATCTCCTCGGGCATCCAGAGCCTCAACAAAGAGCTCAAAGTGCAGGTGCGTAGTTCTAACTGCGATTCCTTGACGCACTGAACCCAGCTGCACTGCAGACTCACGCACCACGTTCTGTACACACCACACCACACCACACCACAACACGACGTGCACGACAACGACGATTACACAACAGTCTGCGAATCAGCACGAGGAACTGTTCCGCCAGGTGCACACGATCAGGCATCTGGAGGACATTCTCGCACAGGTGACCGGCGGAGTGGATTCGCTGCAGAGCGCCATCACCAGCATTCGATCAGAACTCTCTGAGCCGTTCCTCTTGATTCAAGCCCGCACCACCCAGCTCGAACGAGTCCAGGTACCATTGTGGTGTGGATGTGCGTGTGTCGTGCGTGCGTCGTGCGTGTGTCGTGTGGTGTCGTGCGTGTGTCGTGTCGTGTCGTGTCGTGTCGTGTCGTTGAGGTAGGCCAGAGCGACTCACCTGCGATCCATCGCACTATGCAGTCGAGCTGTGACGTGCTGCGGCAGATCACGCGGTTCCTCTACCTGGCCAAGAAGCTGCGCTCACACCTGGACACCCAGCGCCTGCCCGAAGCTGCCGAGTGCCTGTACGAACTCGGTACGGCGGCACTTTAAAGCTTTGCCATCCACACTCATCTTTTCCCTCACGCCTCTCCCTCTGGTCCATCCCATCTCGTGTGCAGAGCAAATTCGCAAGACGGCCGACCTCACCGGCATTCACGTGGTGGACAAGGAGACGCAGTGGATCATGAAGGCGGACGAGGACGTGACGAATGGCGCGTCTCTCATGCTGATCCAGGGCATGGAGACACAGGTACTCATAGTGGACGTCGTAGTCGTCGTCGTATCGGTCATTGGCTGCTGCTAATGTCGTTTAACAACTAGAACCAATCGCAAGTGGCG